GCAACGGACATTGGGGTAAATGAGAGTTGAACTGAAATCGATACATTAAATCTCGTATGTTTGAAAATGGGTGAATCGATGGGGCTTTTGTGATCAGTGGTTCGCTTTGCCTACCAAAAATCATTGAATAAATCATTGAATTTGAAAAATTTTGTGCAATGGTTGTCATGATAAAAATTATAATGGCAAAATTTTCTTTAAAAGAGGGCAAATTTCTTCAAGCAAAGGGCTAGAACTTGACTACTAGAGCAAGGAAGAAACAAGAATAAAATAATGAAGCGGACGTCCTTCCTCCTAGACCAGCTGGTGTCGGGGATATGCAGGCTAGTTTTCTTCTCTTATTTTTCTGTGTTCTATTCGCACGCCACATGTTCGCCAAGTGGGCAACTTCTATTCCTGACTTAAAAATTAATGCAGAATATATACACGAAGGGATATACGTGTGTTATTAGGACTAGTCCGTTAGGGATAGCCAATGATGCCTCTGATAATTAGACGATTGGCTAACGAGTTCGATGTCTCGATGCATTTTTTTTCCTCCCCTTTTGTTTCCTACTCGCTGTTTTATTTCAATCGCTTTAGCCATCCCAGGTGGTCGATTTCACTCTCTTGGCTTTCACAAGAATGCATTTGCCAATTTCATTTAATAATTACAGGTGAATATTTTCAAGTGGTGGTATGCCTCGATTTTTTCTCCATCATCAAGCTCTGAGAAAAGAATGGCAAAAAATCAAGAACGTTGAACTAGCTTTAAAATAGCTCGTACAAACTTCCATTGAAATCTCTGAATCACTAATTTTTTTCCAACTTTTTCAATGCGTTTTTTTAATTTTCTCATTGATACACTTTATCGAAATTTTTTATTCCTCAAGAAAAAATGAAACCGATCCGCATTTCTTATGGATTTAACGAACAGCCATGGACCATCTGGCGGAATCTGCACCCTGAATCGTGATCAAACGTCCATCATACCTAGAATGAAGTCACTCAGACGTACATGAGATTATTCAGTCATTTGTTTGTGCATTGGAAAAAAATTGGAAAATGGGATTTTTTCGGTTTTGGTCATTTGGAAAAAAAGTCGAGGAGAGTTTTTTTTCCGAAATTTTCGACGGTTGGACCTGCAACAAATCTCTCTGATCCGAGGGAAGATTGGCTATAATTCGTTAAAAGATGTGAAAAAAAAAACAAAAAAACAAAACGCTTTTTTTAATGGGAAATAAAATGCAGGGAGTTGCTCTGATTGAATTATACTGTATTTTTGTTTTTAGTGGAAATAGTTGAGCACATGTGAGGGAGGCCTTAAGACTCGACACGCGTGTCACCCAGAACATGGCTCGTACGTTTGTTTTGCACGACGCTGTGGATTACCAAGATTACCGCTACCAGCGCCCTATGCCTCTCCCGAAAAATCCCAACAACTTTCTGGAAACTACAAAAGACTCCACCTCATATATAAACGGACATAAAAATACATGAGCATTCCCCTTGAAACTCTCTGACCCAACAGAATGAGACTAATAATTTTCCATACCTCTGGGTTCAGTAAATTAAATGGATTTTTATAACTTGAAAATGTATTTTGGGAGCGAGCGCAGGTATAAGAAACTGCGACAAATGTGACTCACAGTGTCATTGTGACCTACAAAAATTTAACAAATAAAATGGACAAGTAACCGTCCTTGCCCGTTGACTTTAACTTTTGTCCCCAACTATGACTTTCTTTCCAGCACTAAAACTGTGGGATAATAAAATCAAATGGAATGAAATAAAATAAAATAAAATATTTTTTACGGAATTTCTTCTCAAAACTTCTCAACTCGCTTGAAATTAAATTAATCAAATGCGAATTAATTAATGCATGTGACAACAATAGTGTATTTATACTAATCGATATATTATTCTTTAAATAATCACTGAAAAGTAATAGATTATTTGTGTAAGAAAAATTGCGTTTCCAAAGGTAAGATAAACTAAAGCTCGATGTTACCATCTACTTCGGTTTAGGTATAAGGATTCCTCCTCCCTTTACCTTTTCTCCCGCCATATAATATATTCCGTAATATTGCGCATTTCAGGACCAAGAAAATAAAAGGGGGGAAAAGGTCCAACTGAAATCCTCTTAAAACTATATAACGCGTAAACAAACAGACCGGTGAGCTTCGACAATTTTTTGTGCACAGTCTGATAATTTTTTTTTATCGTAGATTATGGGGCTTAAGCCGGGCATAATTTTACGACTTCCATTTTCGAGAGGCGATTATCGATAGTGCGCACCGTGCAAACAAAGTATTTTAAAATAATAAAATGGGGTCATGTCTCGGAGATTCTGAGCATATAACCTGCTCAGTACTCAGGGTAGATAAACAAGTGTATTTGTTTGCGATAACATTTGAATTCTAATAGCAGTGACCATAAGTCTTTCAAACACAACTAATATTTATCCAGTGTGAAAAATTCAATGCATCTAATCACATATGGATATTGAAATAAACAATTGAGGAGATGGCTTTTCCATAAAGCTGATGAGGCAATGGGTAGGTAATTCCATGAGAATAAACTTTGATTTTCCTAAAATTAAATTATATTCAATGTATTGTCCCCGGAATATTAAAAAATTAGTGGCAATTAAATATATATTATTCGAGAGTAAATCTTTGATTTTGAAGAAATAAAAGAAATGAAAGTTGGCCCAAGTGTTATCCCTAAAATTGTCAATTCAAAACCAAGTCAAGTGAAATAAAAAGTGGTGGAAGCAGTTCGGTCAATCGTATTGCATTCGATTTTTCTTCACGTGGTTGTATTATTTGCATTGACAAGATGAATATTTCTGTACACAAACTGAGGGATTGAAGCAATATCGGGCCAGGTAGAAATTTCGTACCTGATAATTTGTGTCATAAAAATATAAAAGTCAGGAACCCATGCTGTCCTGGTTATTCCCCAGGAGTATACTGGCCGATTGGGTGGCCAATGGGGAGGGGTGGGGAGGGCATGCAATAAGGAGGGGAGGTTTACCGAGGGAGAGAGAGAGAGAAAGAGAGCTTGCTTTTGAGTAAAACTGGAGCAATTTGCTTCGACTAATTATAGGCAATCTACAATTCTGCCGTTTTCCCTTTCTATTCAATGTTTCTTCAAGGCGAAATACGTCACGTTCCCTCTAGACCCTTAACTGACGTTATGACGTTTTATTGCTTTGTATTATTTGTGAAAATATTTTCCAAAGATGAGAATTTTTGGGGAATTAATTTCACCATTTGTCCACTTTGCAAAAATATATATTTTGCTGATTTTATAAATACTTTTTCTCCAATGGAAATAATGAAAATAGAGATTTTTCCAAGAATTTAGGGAAAACAAGTACTTGTGGATTTCTGCGTATCAATAATTATGTTTGTCCCAAAGCTAGAGATTATGTTACGCCTCCCGTTTGCGGATTAATGTCAAACGTCAAAGACATAGATTATGGCATCCTGAACGATACTCAAGTTACAGTATTTCCTCGATCTCTATAGCGATTCGACACAAGTACCTTGCACACAGGCTGGTGTTACTGTACTTTGAGAATAGTTACACCCAACGTAGCTCACCCTTTTACACCATGTATAACCCAGGTATATACCAAAAGGGTTGATGTTACCAGGGCACACAACAATAGCAGTCCAAAATGGTTGCAGGTAGACAGCTTCACGCTTTTACGTTTTGTAAGCACCCAAGGGTTAAGTCGTAATGATTGTCAATAATCTCGGTGTGTGTTGGGGATTTTTAACGACAGGTTCACAAGATAAAAAACCAAATGCTACTGAAGGGAAAAAATTCTGCAATTCGACTTTCAAAAATGAAAAACTAATTTTCTTGTCATAATTAATTCTAGCATTTCGAATGGACTAAAAAATTTGATAATTTTTTTTTTTTTTACAACAGGAGGCAAGCGAAGTGTTTATATCCTCCGCTGAAGTGATAATTGATTGCGTGCTAAACGCTCTTATTGTGGTTCTCTCATGCTCACGGAATCATGAAATTTCAACTGTATAAAAAAAAAAACTTGAAAAATGGGAAATGAGAAATAGATGAGAATTCTCTGTAACTGGGTTTTTTTTTCTCAATCATCGAAAAAGAGATAGAGGGCCAGGGGGAGGGGGGACTAACCCCCTCGAGGTTCTTTTTTAGGCACGCGCGGCGCACGCCCCGCGGGCAGGTGAGAGCCCGCGTTTTCCACCCTAAAAAACACGCCGCGAGTGTGTGGACCCCTCTAGTATATAGTTTGTTATTTTCATCTCGGTACACGCCTTTCAACTTCATTCTTTTTCAAGTATTTTTGGAAGATTTTCGCCTAGTCGAGTGCCGAAAACGAGTATGGAAAAAAAAGAGAACAATTATTTTTATTCGACTAAAATATTCTCTTCGAACTGTTCGATTCTCAGAGTTTAGGAACAGAGATAGGTTTATTATATAATCTTTCCAAATCATGTTGTTTTCTTTCTCCAAAAAATGCAAACTTTCTCAGACTCTATGGGAATTTTTCATAAACAAAGAAAAATAGTTCAATTCCTCGAGAATCCGTTAACCCTCGAAAAAAAAAACTGTACGATGTAACTCACTTCCCCCTCGCAGGTTTTCTCCCTGTGTCCAAAAAACTTTACCAAAAAGAAAGATGAAGAAAAAAAACCCTCAAAAAACGTAAAGAAGGAAAGTGAATGCTCAAAAGACTTCTCTCTTGTCTCTCCCCCCACCCCATTGGCCAACAGGTTGACCCCCACCACATCGGCCAATTTTCTCTCTTTTTTTCTCTTTTTACATCGACTACTTCTGTCCCCCAACTTCATCCCCCTTTTTACGGTAACTGCGCCGAGGGGTTGGCGTACGCCTCGAACGGATTGGCAGTTGGCCGGTGGTGGGGATAAACTCCTCGTGAAAATTCTTGATGCCAAGGGGTGGGGGATGTTTGACTACTATACCAAGCGCGCGTTCGCTGTCAGTTAGTATTGGGTTAGGTCAGCCCGGAGATACGTCGTTCGTTCGTCTCGTCATTTTAGTCACATAGTGTTCGACAACCAACGACGTTGGGACTTGAAAAACAAAACATTGTAGTTGAGTTTTTATTTTTTTCATTTTTTTTCACACGATTGTTGGTCACTTAACCAATAGTTTCAAGTAAGAATTTATTATATTTAAGAAAAAAAACTCATTGACTTTAAGTGAACAAGTGCACAACGATCAATGCGATTTATTTATCGAAAATACCATCGACTTTATACTGATGTATATAATTTAGTTGGAATTCACGTGTGAGTGATATTTTTTTTTTTTTGTTTATCTTGGAAGGAAAGAGGAACACCTTTTTTTATAGTGCTCAATTACTTGTGAATGGAGTGTAACAAGTGATAATCCTTAAACTCGGATCATAGAATGGCCCTTTCGTATCTGCAGGAGGCACAGATTAACGCAGGTAATCATTATTCAGTCTTTGTTAGCGGGCCGACGGATATCTAGAGATGCAATGAAAAATTCGGCCAATTTTTTTAATGTAGAGAAAACACTGCGAATCTTGCGAGGGATTACGTCAACAGTTTATAAATTTCCATAACTCCAATAGAATTCTTTTCGACACGATAAGGAAAGATTTAAGGCATCAAAGTTGTTTACATAGACAACGGTTTAAATTCTTTCAAGTCAACTTTCAATGTCACTGGCTGTTGTAACACGCGTGTCAACACTAAACCAAGTCAATGGCAAAGTTCAGTCGACTCTGAATTCATTGGAAAGTGTCGATAAAAATCTCAGAATACTATTGGTATTCTGAGAAAAGAAAAATCACCTGAATCACAGACCAGAGTCTGCGTCTGAGAGTAAAAGTATGTATATCATCTCTCTTGGCGACCAATTAGAATGAAAGGCATGCAGGCGAGGGTGGTGTTGCCCGGAAACGGACGTTTTAGTACGTATGAGGGAGAAGAAGAAAACGTCGGATTAAAGGGTTTTGAGTTTTGGGGGGGTGTTGTCAAGGAAATAAAAGACGTGGGGACTTTAGTCGAGTTCAATACAATCGATCAATTCCTCCTTTAGAGTGACCAGAAGGAAATCAAGGGGCGGGGAGAGAATCTGAAAGGCCAATGAAGCATAATAAATTAAAAGATTGGACAAAACGTTGAGCATAGTGGTGCATTGAAAGTTAAAAAAGTCGACAATTCTTTAGAAAAATGCCAGCGTCCTAGTACCCGCATGACCTCTAAATATTTTCACCGTCGGCAACCACAAAAAATTATAGAAAGAGCGATGGAAGTCTCGTCAGGGGTCCAAAACCACAGAAATAGCGAGAATAAGAAAAAAAAAATTTGAGGGAGAGAGCGGGGGGGAGGGGTGACAGAAAGAAAAAGCAGTAGAAAAATAGCAACAAATGAAAAAAAGAATCGCGGAAAGACGGAACACACACGGAGGAAAGTCGTTGGCCCCGAGACTGGTGGCGTGGGTGGGTCTTGGGAGGCTGACGGCGGGGGCTTACGTGAATGAAGCGCGGTTACGTGTGGGTGAATGGGCGGACGAACGTACGCAAAACTACTCTTTCTCGGTGTGTCGTGTTTATGAGAATCAGTTGATTATGATTACAACATTACCGATTAAGATGAATGGAACCGAGTGATTGAATGATTTTTTAAATCAATTTTCCAGGACTTTTAGCAACTCAACAATTCAACATGAAGCAGGACAGTGAAAAACAGCCGCTGTCGCCGCCACTAAACAATAACACATCGGTGTCATTATTCCCTCGAATGGGTGCGGCAGCAGCAGCAGCAGCAGCAGGACTGTCAATGCTAACGCCCCAGCAATTACTAGCCGCGAGTCACACTGCAGCCTTAATGGCCGCTGGTATTCCGGTATCACTGCACGCCAGTTTGGCAGCAGCAAGTCCGTCCCTCTATGCACATACGCAATCACTGTTCGGTGGTTGGCCGCCAGCAGCCTCATCTCCCCCATTACCCCTTCAGCACGGTCCAATTTCACCGGCTCTCAGCACTAAATCCAACTCTCGTTCGCGTACAAATAACAACAATAGCAATAGTAACAGCAATAGCAGCAGCAGCAATAACAACAACAATAATAATAATAACAACAACAACAACAACATTGTTAGCAGTAGCGCAGATAGGATGATGTATAAAAAAGCACTGGGAAAAAAACGTGGACCCAAGAGTAAAATAGACTTGAGTTTGCCAACGATGGTTGATGGAGCAGCTCCACCAAGCCCACCAGCTTCAATCAGTCCCGAAGCTGTCAAAGACAGTAAAGATAAAATTTTCACCTGTCGCACTTGCTCGAGATCTTTTGGATACAAGCATGTCTTGCAGAATCATGAACGTACACACACTGGAGAGAAACCATTCGAATGCCCTGAATGCCATAAACGGTAAATATTTAATTATCATTACCATCACTATCCATTGCTAATTTTTTAATAATAATAATAATAACAATCATAAATGAAAACAAAAAAAACGTTCAACATTACAGATTCACCAGGGATCACCATTTGAAAACCCACATGAGACTTCATACAGGTGAAAAGCCCTATCACTGCAGTCACTGTGATCGTCAATTCGTCCAAGTAGCCAATCTTCGTCGCCACCTGCGTGTCCATACTGGCGAGCGTCCATATGCCTGTGAATTTTGCGCTCAAAAATTCAGTGACTCGAATCAACTGAAAGCCCACCTTTTGATCCATACAAATGAGAAACCCCTTCAGTGTCCACACTGCCAAAAGAGATTTAGAAGGACACACCATCTCCTCCATCACAAGTGTACAGCGACACTTGGCATGTCACAGATAGCTTCACCCTCGGCAGCGAGCGATGATTTGGAGGAGGAGGCTGACATTGATATCGATGGAGAGGTTGATGAAAAACCAAATGTATCAGGTAGAAGAGCATTGAATCGCTCTCTTCCAAGTCCAATGATGAATAGTCAAGTGCAGATGCCATTGAATCTTTCGGGTGGACATTCAATTGACATTCCTGAGCAGACTGAGCCCGAGGACTTGTCAATGTCCACTGGTATGCACAGACCATCTTCACACAGTCACAGCAGTGGAGATTCACCACTCAGCAGGAGCCCCAGCAGTGATACACTTCACGAGGAGGAGGAGGAGGAGGAAGACGAGCTCGATGTCTCAGAGGCAAGCCCAAGCACACTTTTCCTCCATCGCCATCACGATGAGTACAGACTTCACCTCGCTAAACTTGCCAATAGTGGCTCCAATAATACATCATAGTTGGGCTCAGGTACGTAGATCAGAGCTACCTTGTATTTATATTTCTCCTTTATTTGATGATTATTCGACACACGCAAGTCATGAACATGAGGAAAAACAGTTCACAGTCATTACGTCCTTAACATTCATTTTTCCATTGTAATTATACTTTGATGGAGCAGCATTAACTTGGAAAAGAGGGGAAAAATATGTTGAAGGGAAAATTGATGTTGAAAATGATTTTCGAATTTGTAGATATGGATAAATATGTCAACTGATAATTATTTCCAAGGCAAGTTCATCACTAAATGAATAGAATTCATTCATCTTTTCGTTTTGTTTAATCGCTCGATCATTATTATCGCTCGTACCATTTAATAAAACATTCAGGGATGCGTCGATGTAAATTAATATCATTATAAAGAATGCATATATTGATATGCATATGATAGTATTATATTGGGTTGCAGAGAAATGGTTCTAAAGTATATTAAAGGAAAATACGAAATTTGAAGGTTTCTCTTGTTCAGTCTGAATTATTAGGTAGAAATTGGTATTTCGGTGTAAATAGTAGTATTGAAAAAAGGAAGAACAAAGATTAATATCGAGGAGACGCCTATATTATGTATTAAGTTTAGCCGTTGTAGTTAGTGTGATTAATTTTCATTTCATTTTCTTTTTCCATCGGAAATCGCAGAAGTTTATGAGCGGAAGGCATAACTAAGTTCAGATGGGACGAATGAATTCAACATGATACAAATACTCGACTTGTTTCACATTATTTCGCCTAGGAGAGTTGAATTGATTATTAAAGTGTATAATTTTTTCCACTCGATACCAATGTATATTTATTTTTATGCCACCTCGCGGCTTCTGCGTGCCACGTTGTTATTGATTTATATCATTTTTTAATTATTATTATTATCATTATTATTATTATTATTATTATTACCATTATTATTTCTTTCTGAATCAACCTGTAAAATGCCAAAACAAAATGAAAATTGTTAAATACATGTACAAATTTACCAAAATTCAAAACGATACGAATTTTTCGATTGACCTGACTTTTATACTTATCACTACTGACTTTATTTTCTTGACAAGTGTAGTGGAATTGAGTGGAAATGAAATTTTCCCATGTTTTTGGAATTTGTAGGTATTAATGGGAAATCATGTGGAAATTTACTGTGAAAGTGGATCTGAGTGGATTTCACAGAGGAATTTGTAATTTTCCTTGTCATGGAAGAGCAATTTTCACCAAAATCACTGAGATAAGGACATTTTTTTTCTCCCAAGAGCGCATTCTTATTTCTCAACATGTCAACTTTCTAATTCCACCCGCTAGATCTCATTTTTTGCCCCACTCGTCGGAAAAAAATAAAAGCAAGCCCCAGAAGTAACGAAACTGGACACGACCCAGTTTCACTTGTGAAAAAAAAAAAAAAAATAATAATTTCTCAAAGTCAAAAAGCTGAACAGACACTGTACTACACACGCAGGGGTCGCTCCTTCGTTAGCCCTCTCAATGCGTTTCTGATTTATGTCTCGTCATGCAAATTTTGTAGAGTAAAAAGGGGAGGTGGACAAGGGAAACCTTGGGCTTTCGACCTCCAGTGCATTGTCCCCCCGCTCCCTCAAAATGTTGAGGTAATATCCCCGACTCTCCCTTCTCTCAGGCATCCCTGGACCTCCGCGTAGCCGACAAAGAGAAACTACAATCGTTTGTGCAAATGTCGTTCACAAAATCTTGAAATTGCCCTCGTTTCCTTCCTCAGGCCATTTTAAACGCTCGAGTTTCGCCCGGGAGGTATCCAAGGGTGTCTGCAGGCTTCGAGTCCCTTTTTTTTCTCCTTCGTTTTCACTTTTGCTCCTTTCTACTCTACTGTTTTTTTTTTATTCCTTGGGGCCCGTTAGCTACATTGGTACCTCTCTACACGTTTCACTTCGTCCATTGACGTGGATGCACTCTCAGTGATGACAATGGCGTGTGCCCAAGATATGTTTCTTATTTGATGCTACTTCTGGGCTCTTACGCTCGATCGAACTTGATCAAGATTTATTTATTTTATTTTACTTATTTTTTTTTCTCGAGATTTTTGCCTGTCGAGGGATGGTGCTTATAAATTGTTATTTATCGAGAGAGGTTCTTTAGGGGGTGGGGGGGGGGTAAATATGGAGGGATAATACGGGTGGAAAATTCCTTTGGAATTTGTTCGAGGATTACTAGAGTGAGTCGAGGTATTTGGAAGCTTTTTTAGAGAGATGTTGGGTTAAATGGTGATATTTATTTTAGGTTCGACTATCGACGATTCTTTCCTTTACGTGAATTTTCAAGCATTTTCTCATTCTCGTGACCCTTTACACTTTCTCTACTGGAGGAAAAATGGAAAGTTTGAGGGTAAAAGCCTCATAATACAAGAATATTACTCCTGCTGTAACTCCACGTGTTCACTACATGTGCGGCCGGACCCTGAAAACACACTCCACATTCTTTAAACATTTTTTGCACATTTCCTTCATCCTTCATCTTTCAAAAATTGTCACAAAAAAATTATAATGCAGGTCAATGACACGACCTCCAACTCCAATTTCTCGAAAGTCAAATAGAAGAGCGGGAAAAAAAAATATACAAATGTGGTGGCTATTGTGAATGCTTCTACAGAAAGATAGAATACACAAAACTGAAACGAATAGTCGAATACTAATGTGTCCTTTTAATGGAAAAAGGACTTTATCCTTGGGTCTTGCGAAATCAACGTCCTTTCTGTCAACGTCCTTTTGCATGGCTTTTGCTAACGAATTTCATTTTATTCTCTGTGGGGTAGATTTTTTATTTCTCATTGCTCAATAGCAGAACCGGTTTAATTTATTATGAATCCAAATGCCTGAGACGAAAAATACTCTTCAATTTTTGCAGTTGAGGAATCAACGGGGTTCTCTCACCCCCACTGATTTTTGGAGATATTAATAAACGTTCAAATAATTTTCACATCCCAAAAGCATTGGAATCACGTTTATTCAGCTCATTCTACATTATTAGAAAAAATTTAGCATTTTAACTCTACAAAAAAGAAAAAAAATGTCGAATTTTCATTGACTGTCGAAATAGTTGCTAAAAAGTCCATTTGAAATAATCAATTAGATTTATTTATGACATTTCCTCTGTGTTCAATAACTTGGTAATGGATAATTAAAACGATCCTTACATGAATGATGGATCTATCTAATCAAGTTTTGAAATTTCGTCGCTTGTCCCAATGTCGTAAACTATTATTGTTGTTACTTGAAGAATCCGAAACGATAAGAAAAGGTATAAATTTAATGTATATTATCATTATTGAATAGTTTAAACGTCGTGGAGTAGGAAATTATCAATTTTCTTAATTTATTTGAAAGCGGGAGAAAGAGACGAAAAAAAAACAATTGCCAAAATGTGAAACTGAAAAAAGGAATATTAGTAAAACCATTAATAATTTTCAACGGAATTTCAGATTCGGTCACGGTGTATATCTAAATGGTATAATCAGTGTAATTATTTGAATTATGTAATTTTGTACAGCAAGTCGAATATAAACGTACAAAGTTGAGAGTCAAATGCAATTTTTTCACAAACACACATCAATTGACAATTCGCATGGCAATTCGCCTATATTCCAATAATTCATACTTTAGTTGAAAAATTTATCCCAAGAATTACGGGAATGAGTGTTGGAAAAATTGCATGAGTTGAAGTAATTTGATTCTCGGCGAGTACGCGGTACAAATACAGACCTTACAAATAATAGATGGAAAAGAAGACATAATGGTTGAATAATAATTGTGGATCAATGATAAGCCATTGTAAATTGTTCTCGCTTAGTACACAATAATTCAAATTCCCACAATGACCACAAATATCATGATAATTATGTTTATTACCGCATGAAGAATAGAATATATAATATATTTTTGTTTATTGTTTTTTTGTACCTGCCTAATGTACCGTGCGAGCAGCAATTTAAATGGCACACACACAAAAGTTATTTAAGATTGAAAGGATTAATGTAAAATAGAAATATAAAAAATGAATGAAAAACAATATGAAGGGACAAATGTATACTATGAAACTGACACTACCTCACCAGACACCTAATATATCTCAACCACAAGACTGATTTTACATAGTATTCCTATAAGTAAGAGAGCAAAAGTAATAAAGAAAAAAAAATGTAATAATGTGAATGAGAGAATTTATTCGTTTAGAGAGACCATTTTTATGTAAGTAGATCAAATGACCACATGACACATGAGTAATTTCTCGTGGATAATGTCCACTGATTAATGCATTTCATGTACTTTTTCTCTCTGAAGTGATTTTTACATTATTCAATTGACAAATTAACCATCCGGCTCCAAAAACAATTGTAAAAGCGTATCTCGATTTTGAAATTATTTGGTTAAATGAATCAGTGTATAGATGGGCATTTAATTGTCTCTTGATTCGACGTTCGTCGAACATATTTTTATTATTAAAGATTCACTGTTCAATCGTTTTTAAGTCTTCTTTTTTTATCCATTGAACCTTCTATTGTAAGCAATTGACATGGGATTCCTCAAGTTGCAAGGTAAGTGTTATTTTTTTAAAAATTATATACCAATGATTGAAAAATTAATTTTTTGCTATTGAAAATCAAGAAAGCCGAGATAAAACCGCTCGAGCATTATAATTCCCAAGAGATTGTAAAAATATTTTTACGACTCATTCGAGAAGAACGGCTAATGCCGATCGTCAATTCCGTGTCCGTACTTACACTATCGAAAATTCGAATATAAAAAATTTTGACAAAAAAAGATGGAAAGAAGAGGTTTCTCTCCCCTCGAATAGAAGCGAGACCTGCATTCAGCTGCCGCCATTCAATCCGACGTTTCCAAAATCTAGGAATCCACGCGGATGCGGCCACGTGCACAAAGGGGGTGGTTACGAGTGTGCGCAAACGCATTTACGGTTTCACTCTACCTAGTATATATTGTTACCTCTATCTTTATTCTTCTTTATGATTCGAGGAGAGTAGAGAAAAGGGGCCGGTGGCACAGTGACACATTATGCCGTAATGTGGGGGCACGTGGCAGATGCAGACGGATATTTTTCTTCGTTGCTGAGCAAATTGTTCATATTCCAAGATTTTGGTCATTTTATTTTCATGCACCCGGACTCGAGGAATGAAGAGAGTTACTCATTAATGTCAGTCATCCCGACAATTATAGTGCATAACATTCAATTGTTATAACTAGAAGAATTTTTCCACAATTTTAAATTTAATGTCGTGTGCTTGCCACGCGCTCCCACCAATTTCTTATTTTCCGAGGAGGAGGATAAAAAAATGAGCGGAAAGGATGCAGAAAAAAAACCGTATAGTCTGTATATACAAGGAGCGCGTGTCCCGAAAATTGTAGGAAAAGGGAGAAAAAATAGGGTAGGGGTTTATACCGTTGGCTTTAACCTCTTTTTTTCGAAAAATATCCTAAATGACAATGCCCGAGCTCGCCTGCAAGTAGCCCGAGGAAACGTGATATGGCTTTGTGGATGAAACCTGAAAATTATTACATGAAATCTGCGGGAGATTTCGGGATTTTTTTTCTTTTTTTCTCTCATGAGTGAGGGGGGCGCGATTGAGGGTGTATTGCTGAACAATGGAGAAAAAGCTCTCGACGCGTGCTCAATGGGTTCTATTTGTCGTTTGGCAATTGATTTTGAATTCGTATCTAATATTGAACCTTTGTTTTTGCTCTTGTTCGGTTTTATAAATTTCATGGAATGAAGGATAATTGGTTGTGGTAAAGATATAAGCAAGCAAATTCATTAATTTAACATTTTTCTCGCTACCATATGGTCTTTCAAAAAAAAAAGAAACGTTTTAGACAGGCTCACCCCATCTCAAGACTCCTTTTAAAAATGAAGAAATTTTCCAACTACATTTTTTTCATTCCCTCCAATCAATTTTTCACATCCTCAAAAACCCATTCTCTGCCTCATTGTTTCCTAAACCGAAGGTCAAAGGGAAATAAAACAAAAAGGAGCGAAATGAGGCCAGACTCGTTCTCTGGACTCCTTAATTATACAGCACGCGCCAAATAAATGGGCCCTCTTTTTCCCCGAAGGATGCTCCATTCTATCCCTAGGATGACCATATGGCGAATCCTTTGGAGTCACTTTAAAAATCGCCGAGGACACGAGTCCTCCGCGATCTTGGCATAACGACAGGTGGCGTATCGAGGGTAAAACGCTTATGACATTTCGTGATGTCCTCGGGCAAATATCAAAATACGAAAATGACTTGAATCCTATATATATATATACATATATAAAAATTTTTTTTCCATTTGATGAATTCTCAAAAAAATGTCTGGACAGGGTTATTTTCATTTTCTATGAATTGTGCTTATTGCAGAAAAGGAAAGAACCACATTGAAGAAAATCGAAAAACTGTATTTTAATGAGACTTTTCATCTATTGAACAAAGCTCAGGAAGTCGGTGGTAAATCAATGTAACGCTCAACGAATCAATTTTCACATTTCCAACAAACGCGTGTTAGAACGCACCTTTTCAATCCAGCAGGTGGAGTGGCACGTAAAACTAGGAAACTTGTATCGCTCCACATTAGGTAAAAGAAGAAGAGATGTTGTCAGATAATATACACAGGCGTTAGTTGAGAGTATACATCGAAGACTCAGAATGATGGAAAAAACTGTCGATGGCAGGTGAAAAGCAAGTGAGGATGGAGTGAAAATAACATTTTTAACGAAGAAAAAAGCGACATTTTTGTAGGTGTATAGAGTTCTATATACACACCTGGTTACTAATCGGATTAACACGTGAATTGTACGGTAAAATATGCGAGCCATGATTTTAGTGATTTCATTTATTTACTTTAACATTATTTTTTTCAAACACCTGTTTTCAGAAACTATTGATTTAGACTTTATTTTCCTAAAATTAGATAGCCTAGAAGAATTCTTTGAAGAATTCTTTGTCTAGAAAATGAGGAAAGGAAGTTTTTCAAAAATGAGACAAGAGGAAATATTTCTCGCCGTCAGAATAGTCCTTCCGAGTCTTTGAAATATGCATCAACTTACTTGAAGGACTTGAAAGATT